ATATGTTCCAAGCATCTCCTGTGTGCCAGGTATACGGAGGCCACAGCAATGAATGACACTGTCCAAAATCTCTGCCCTTGGGAAGCTGATGTTCTAGAGAGGATGCAGCCAGTAAACAAGAAAAAGAAGTGAAATGTATGGTCAGTTAGACCATGGTAGCTCTCCAGAGCTACAAGGGGAAATGATAGGAAGTGTCAGCAGGTTGAAATATTCTGTAGGGTGCTGGGATGTTGGGTAGGTCTGGGAAGTGTCCCAGGCAGAAGGCACAACTGATGCAAAGGCCCTGAGGTGGGAACAGGTCTGGGAGCTTTGAGGAAGCTTCCTTGGCCCCTGCTGTAAAGATTACATTTCCCAGCTTCCCCTGCCACTAAATTTGGCCATATGGCTAAGTTCCACCCAATGGAATGAAGCAAAGGTGTCACATGCATCTCCCAGGAAGAGTTCTTAAAGGGAAGAGGTGTACCTTTTTCTCCAACTTCCTGTTTCCTGTTGGCTGGAATGCACATGGGAGGGCTGGAGCTTGAGCAGCCATCCTAGCTCAAGAGATGGAAGTTCCTGCGCTGAGAAAGGCAGAGCAGCAAGAAGGCAGGAGCCTCGGTTCCTGACATTGCCCAGGAGTACATCCCTCAGAGATGAATTTCTATCTAATTCAAGCCTCTAGCACTTGGGGTCTTCCATCCCTGTGTGCCAATCCTACTAACTGATACATTATGTAAAGTGCATTGTTACAGGACTCCGTCTGTTCATTGCCTACATTGATTTGCATCCACATCAGTGAAGAAGAATAAGAAAGGTGCCCTGCCTTTGAGAAGTTTACAACCCTGTTGAGTGAGTCCACACACCTGATTTATAGCCCCAGCCAACTGTGTGACCATAGACTAGTCGCTTTGCCTCTCGGGAACTCAGCTGCTCAATTCTAAAACGAGAGGATTGGCTCCCCCCAAATCGCCAAATCCCCCCAAAGGAGAGGATTTGGCTCCCCCCAAATCCTCCGTGGGCAGGAGTGTGGAGAACGGGGGGTGGGGGTTATACAAATCGCAGCAGCCAAAATAGGAGAAAGGTAGGAAGTGAAGAACAGTGAGCTTTGAATAAATAAGGAGAGGCATTCAGGAGAGAAGGGAAGTGGGTCCAAGGGAGGTGGGTCCCTCAGGGTTTTTCTGTTGCATGTGACGGAAGACAGCACCAATAGACCCAATGGATGGAACGCAGATTTATCGGATCTTGAAAGGGGACGCCCAGGAGATCCCTAGCTGCGTTTAGGGTCATCTAATCTGACTTACCAATTGCTCGTCCTAGAGTCTGTTCATTTCAACCCCCCACTTCTGGCCCCATTTTCAGTATTAGGAATCTTTTTGCTTGCGAGTGGCGGAAGCCCCCTTCAGAAGCAACCAAAAACCAACTAGTGGCTTCCAACACTAGTCACAGCACGAACCCCGAGGTGTAATTGCATCCGAGGATTTGAATTCTTCCTGCAGGATTCAATCCCTGCTTTCTGGTTGACGTAGGAAGGATGTTAGAGTTCGATGCCAAAGGCCAAGAAGGAATTCTTGAGACGTCTTTGGTGCAAAAAAGTGGTTTTTATTAAAGCACAGGGATAGGACCTGGGGGCACAAAGAGCTGCTCTGGGGTCTTGAGGAGCGGCCCATTACATACTTTCAAGTTGGGAGGGGGTTAGGGAGAGTGTAAGCCTCCCAGGTGTTTTGGAAACAAGGCTTCCAGGATCCTGAGGGGGTAGCTATTGTTGGGAAAGTTCGTTTATTACTGTTTAGTAAACCCTCAGTCATGAGACCGCTTCAGATGTATATGAAGTGGGTTGGTGGGTTGGTAAGTATGCTTGGGGGATGATTGCCAACATGTATCTTGGGGGGTAGAGATAAAGGAAGTTTCCAAAGGAATTTTTATATGTTAGAGTAGGCTTACAGGATCCTAGGGATCGGGCTAAGATTGCCTTTTGCCCTTAGCAAAGTATTAACATCGAGGCAGCTGAGTCCCTAGAGGAATGTCACTCTGTCTGTTTCAAGGACTTGTCAAGGGGCTGTAGGTAGTAAGGAAATTTAATAATTTTTCTTCTGCCTTTGCTTCCCACATCATTGGGGCTGGCTTCCTTCCCAGGCAGGCTGACGGGCTCGGTCACCAAGGCCACGTCCACAGCCATCACACAGTGAGACAAGAGAGCTGGTGCCTGCATCGAGGAGTCTTTGCAGGATGTAGAAGCAGGGCCTGGCTCCGAGAAGGATGGGGGCATCCGGGGAGGCTTCACAAAAATGGTGCCAGTTGAGCTGGGCGTGGGCTGGAAGATGCTGGATGGACAAGGCGGAAGGGCATTCCGGGCAGAAGGGACAGCCAGCCCCAAAGGATGCAAGCTCCTGCCGTTCAGAGTTGCCAGACCGTTGGGTGCTTTGTGGGAGCAGAAGGAGATGAGGCTAGGGAAGCCAGCTGTTAGCCGAACGGGAAGAGCTCGGATGGCCGGACTGAGCGTTTTAGGCAGCGGGGAGCTATGGAAGGATTTAGTGCCGGGGAGGGCCACAGTCACATTTTCATCCTTAGCCATGCAGTGGAAGGTGAATGGTAGCAAGGAGAAAAACTGGAGGCAGCTGGGGAACCAGGGAGGGGCTCCTGTGTTACCAGCCTGCACCAGGTGGGTAGCCTGGGGCGTCAGAAAATTTCTGGAATCAACAGGACAGAAATCTGGAGGGTGAGGAGCCCAGGGCTGGGTCATTCTGGAATCCAGTCTGATGGTGTGGCTACCAACTGGCTTCAGGCTGGTAGAAGGAAGGGGCTAGTCCCCCCTGCGCCTGGCAGGAGGACGAGAAACTGGGGTTGCCACCTCTGGGGACTGCAAGACCCATCTAGTCTTTGAGATTCAAAGTGGCCAATTCTTGAATGCCTTCAGGAGTGGGGAGTTCACTCCTTCTGTAGCTCTGACCCAAATAAACCATGGACTCAAACCTATCTCCCTAGAGTCCGGTACAGCTCAGTGCCCCATGCCCATATGCGGGGGGGGGGGGGGTTGCTGCACCCCAGGTTAGCCCTTGGAGATTTGGGAACCTGGCACTATCCACCTGAAGTCTGTCGCTTTCCAATCTCAGCTCCTGTGGTTCCTCTCTGATCCCTCCGTCTGGGGTAGGGCCTTCCAGAGCGTGGGACAAGGATCCCTGGGGTCCTGGGGAAGACGTAGGTATTACTCAGACACTAAGTATTGATTCACAGGGGGAGCAAGCCAGCCCCTTTCAACACTCTCCCCATCTCCCTGACTGTATCAAGGAGAAAGGCTCCCTGGGGTGCTCGAGCCTCTTAGGGTCTTACACACAGGCTCCTGTCCTTGCCGAGCAGAGAGCAGGCAAGCCTCCATCGTGGGACCTCTGGCTGCAGTCTCTGGTCTGAGTCTACTGGTGTTACTGGGTTTCCTGTGGCTATTTTCATGTTTCTATTTCAGGCAAGTGATGATGGTTTGCCATATATGGTGGCCCCGTGACCCAACTGAATGCTGGCTGCAGGGTCCCCAGCCCTGGATCCACAGCAGTGCCCGAGGCTGGGAGGTGTGGCCGTACCCCGGGACTCTCCCACAGCCGAGCCCGGGGAGCCTGGGGAGCCCCGCTTAGCAGGAATATGCTGGGGCATCCTCCCTGCCAACATTACCACTTACAGTGAATTACAGCACCTTGAAGGAAAGCGGTCTTCTCCCTCCCTCTCCCCCTGCCTACTGCCCTCGCTGGGGATAACCCTAGGGCTGTTTGGAGGGTCCCCTTCTGGAACTTTCCCCCGTGTGCTTATTCTCTCCTGTATAACACAAAAGGATGGTGCTGGTTGTGTTGAGTCACGTGGTGGTGGTGGTGGTGGTTTTCGACAACTGTTGATTCTAGAACCTTGATACATACAATTTCCTAGTTTTTGTTCTAGAATATTCCATAATTGGGATGTTTTTACAATTTTGTAACTGGGCCTCTATTCTGAGAAATCACATGATGCCTTGGAGCGTAGACACTTAGCCTTTTGGGCTGACAGAAGATTAAAACAGGACTCAGGCTCCCTGGGCATCCTGGCTCATCACCCTCCTCCGATGCGCGCCATCCTCGTCCAACAGACTCATCCCCTAGAAGCAGAGCGATTGCTGGGCCCAGTGCGGAGCTCAGCAAATGCTCGTCAAACCGCTGTCTGAGGTTGAAGCCCGCGCTGCCGGCCCTGCGGAGGAGGAACCCCTGGCCCAGCTGGGTTGACCCGGGGCAGGCTCCACCAGGAGGCCTCCGGTTCCACAGGACCTTTTTTCCGGAGCCCCAATATCCCCCTAATGTTGCGGAGGCTCCTAACAATACTGATGCCCAATGACCTTTCGGAGCGCTTGCTTTGCGCCAGACGCCAACAACCCTCTCGGCAGAGGAGGTGAGTGAGGAGGCCGTTGGAATCGCAGTCCGAAGGGTCCATTGCACAGGCTGGGCTCGGCGGCTTGCTTATCTCCCCAAACGGGCAGCTCACTCTCCCTATTCCCAACCCCCCAACTCCCCCGCCCCGCGCGCGGCACCCGCTCCGCGCCCCAAGGCCTCCGTCTCCCCGGGTGGGCGGGGTGCGCCCCGCGGCACCTGCCAGGGAGCGGCGTGGAGCCCGCGAGCGCCCCGGCCCCCGCCCGGGCGGGGCGGGCGGCGCCGGGGGCCTCAGGGGCGGGGCGGGGAGGGGCCGGCGGCGGCGGCGGCGGCGCGCGGAGCCGACCGCAGTGCGGCCGGCGCTAGGACCTGCGGGGGCCTCCCGGGCCGCGGCGCCTCCCGCTCCCCCGCTCACCCAGCCCTCCTCCCCCCCACCCCAAAATGAGGAAGCGGAGCAACTTGTTCCAAGTTGTGCAGCCAGGGCTGCCTCGGGGTGCGCAGCCAGCGCGCGGGGGCCCTCCTGGGTGTGGGCGCGGGGCGCGGCCCGGGGGCGCCCCCTGAGCAGGTGAGCGCGGTGGCAGGGGGGTGAGGGGAGAGACCGCGGGGCAGTGGCGGGGTGTGGGGGGGAACCCCGAGGCCTCCGGGGGCGTCCCGGGCGTGCGGCGGAGGGCCCGGTGTGAGCGCGAGTGTGCGCGTCCGGCGTGCGCGGCGGGTACGCGGCTGGGGTAGCGGGTGGTTAGAGGCGATCGGGCGCAGGGTGGGGGCATTTTTCTGGGTGCGAGTGTGCGCGTCTGCAAGCTCCCGGGTGTGTGTATCCGCGCGTCCACGTGGAGGGATGTTCGCGTGTGGCCGAGATGCGTGTGCGCGGCCCTGCGTGTAGCTCTGCGTGCCCTGGTGGCCCAGTGTCTGGCGCCCAGCGTCTGGCGCCCAGGTGTTCAAGTGTGGGTCTGTGTGTGTTGGGGGGGGACAGGTATACACATTTCTGGCCGTCTGAGAGTCTGTCCGTGTGCACCCATGTGTAGAAGTGTATACACCCGTCTCTAGGTGAACGCTTGCATACCCGCGTGCCTGTGGGTACCTGTGTCCACCTGTGTCCAAGCCCCGTGTGTTTGTGTGTGTGCTCGTGTGTACATGGATCAGTATGCGTGTGAATACTCTTGGCGCTGGGGATTTATGGGGGGCAATACTGGAGGGGCAGAGGCTCATCCCCTCAACCATTCCCACTGCCCAGCCACCTGCTGTGGGGTCCAAGGAGGAGAAAAGGGGTGGAAAAGACCCTTCCCCAGCAGCAGTAAGAGACCGCATGTCTATCCTAGGTTGGCACTGGAATTGGGGGGCATCAGAGAGGCTCAGTTGACGGCCAGAGAAGCCCAGCAGGGCTGCATGCCCCCTCCCCCGGCCCCCTCCCAGCCCCACCCTAGGTTCAGAGATACTTGGGAATGACCTTGAATCATCCTCTGTTTCCTTGCCCTGCCCCTGCCCACTTACCAGAAAAGAGGAACCAAGCTCAGTTAGGTGGCACCATGTTTCCCACCCACTGTGGGGCTGCTGGAGAGCCTGAGCCAGGCGCTCCACCCCTCCCCACCCTATGGCCACTTGCTCTGTGCCCACCTTGTGCATCCGTTGCCCTTCCGGGACAATGGCAGGGCTAGACTCTGTGGTTTCCTCGCTGATGTTCCACGGCTGCAACTCTGATAAGGAACTCCTGTGGGTAAAGACCGCCTCCCCAGAGGGGCTTGGGGAGCCACCACCTGGAACCCCCATGGGGATGCCCTCCGGTACTTGCCTCCACCTGGCCTGGGCGGGAAGTGGTTAGTTAGTAATTGCCCCGGGCCCCAGCCTGCCTCCAATCTGGGCTCTCCAGCTGGTCTCTGCCTGCCCCCAGGTGAGCCCTCGCTTCCTCCGTGCCTGGCACCCCACGTTCATCTCAGCCAGGATGCCAACGGTGAGTACCCCCCACCCGGGTGCCTGTGTCCCGGGCCGTCCCCCGCCCAGTGCACACCCGCGGGACCTCAGCCCCACGGGGGGGGGGGGGCGCTGTACCTGTGACTCCAGCCCCCTTCAGCCAGTGCTGCACACTCTTTCACGATCACCTGATGCTACATTCCTGTCACCTTTGCTTCCTGACCTTCTGCTTTGGGCCCCTGGGTTTGCGCCTGATACTTCTGCCCAGGCTGCTCCCTCTTGATTTCTGTTCTGTCTCTGCCTTGCTGTCTTTTGCCCAATTTCCGTTTCTCTCTCTCCCTGGGCCTCCCCCTCATGCCCCTTGCCCCTCCCCCATCCCCCCCGCCCGGCCCCAGAGGCGCTGGGCCCCAGGCACCCAGTGCATCACCAAGTGTGAGCACACGCGCCCCAAGCCGGGAGAGCTGGCCTTCCACAAGGGCGACGTGGTCACCATCCTGGAGGCCTGTGAGGTGAGTGGCGGCTGCCGGGCCCGGGCGCGCTTGGGGAGGGGTGTCTCTGCCGGGAGCCCACACCCACCGCCGGCTCCCTCCCCGGTAGAGTAAGAGCTGGTACCGTGCCAAGCACCACGCCAGCGGGCAGGAGGGTCTGCTGGCGGCCGGGGCGCTGCGCGAGCGAGAGGCGCTGTCGGCGGACCCCAAGCTCAGCCTCATGCCGTGAGTCTGGGGACGCCCCCCCCCCCCCGGGGCTGGGCGGCAGGAGGGCCCGGCCCGCCTGGCCCAGCGTGCCCTTCCGCAGGTGGTTCCACGGGAAGATCTCGGGCCAGGAGGCCGTGCAGCAGCTGCAGCCGCCCGAGGACGGGCTGTTCCTGGTGCGCGAGTCGGCGCGGCACCCCGGCGACTACGTGCTGTGCGTCAGCTTCGGCCGGGATGTCATCCACTACCGCGTGCTGCACCGCGACGGCCGCCTGACCATCGACGAGGCCGTGTGCTTCTGCAACCTCATGGACATGGTGGAGGTGCGGCCGCCGCCGGGCCTGGCGCCCCAGAGCCGCATGGTCTGCACCGTGGAGGTGGAGGGACCCCAGCCCCCCCCATTCTGGCAACCGGGGGGGCCCGGGACACCCACTGCTGCACGCACAGTCCCGGTGTGGGAAGGAGGGGCTAGTCTCCGTGGACCACCAGCCCCACAGCTGGTCTGAGTCCTCTGGGTCCACCTCTAGGGAGGGACTGGGGTGGCTCCTCTGGGGACCCCTGGGAACCTCCACGTTGACACTGATCCAGAGACCACCGCCCCACCTTCCCCAGGATCCTCCTGTTTCCTAGCCTGCATCCTTTCCGTTCCCATGGAAACCAGCCCAACTCCTCCGGTGGGAAGCAAAGCCCCCTTCTCCCCAGCTCCTGCCCACCCCCTTCAGAGAGCCTCCCTGGGGAGGGCACAGAAGGCAGGGGTTCCCTGCACCCCTGGCGGGGCTCACGGCTCCCTCTGCCCCGCCCCCACCCTGCAGCACTACAGCAAGGACAAGGGGGCCATCTGCACGAAGCTAGTGAAACCCAAGAGGAAGCAGGGCACCAAGTCGGCAGAAGAGGAGCTGGCCAAAGGTAGGGGCCCGCGCCCCTCCTCACGGGGCCCGTGGCCAAAGCCACATTGCACGAGCATGGCTTGCTGTGCCCGGCACTGCGAGCGAAAGACCTGAAGCAGCGCTCGGGTGGGGCAGAGGTGCCCACGGACGCCCATCGGCCCGCGAGGAGCGAATTCAGGTGACACCTGCTCTGCTTCCGGGTCCCCATCACCCACCGGATCGCCTGGGCCAGAGGCCCAAGCCCGAGCCCCAGCCTAGCCTCAGACCCTCCCACCAGACTGCCTCCTCTCTGGAGAGCATTCCCCTTCCACCGGACCCCTACCTCAGTGTCCCCAGAGGTGACTTTCTATCATGAAAATTCACCCACATCACTCTCCTGCCTTCTAGAACCTTCCCTTGTGGCTGAGCCATCTTAGTTCATCTACAAGACCCTTCCTCCATGCTCCCTACTTGCCTCCTTGTTTTCCTCTCGCCTCTATGCTATTGTGCATTCCGTTCCCTCCACCCGAAGTGCCCCTCCCGCCCCTGAGTAATGAAATCCTCGATGCTCAAGGCCCTGAACAAATGCCCCCTCCCACGGCCACTCCTCCTGAACCTGATGATCGTGTCTGTCTCTCCCAGGGAAATCTGGACGTCTCAGGGATGGCCCCAAGGGGAGGCTGGTGTCCCCATGCTTGATCATAACTAAGGGCTTGTAATTTGGAGGGGGGGCTTTGGGCAGGAAGGGGAAGGAGCCTATGGAACCTACTAGAGAGAGGACGGGAGAACATGGGCATGTTTGAGACAAGGAGTCAGGGAGGCTGGACCCCAGATGACCACTTAGAATGCTGGAAGATTCTGGAAGATTCTGGAACCTTTGCCAGAAGATTCCAGAAGCTTTACCAGTCTCCATGTCTATTGTATTTTTTGCTGTGTGTCCTGGGTGGCCAGAGGTAAAGGACTATAAAGGGAAGAGCCCCTGGGGTATTTGGAGGGACAGTCTCCAGGTAGAAGAGAGAAGGGCAGCCCTAAAGGGTTTGCCAGCGCCACGCCCTGGACCCGATGGGGCATTCCTGGGAAGCCATGCTGGGGTCCATCCCCCACCCCGTAAGCCCCTTTCTTCAGGTCATCCTGGGGGGTACACAGGCTCTGTTGCTTTCCAGCACTTGATAAGCAGGCCCAGGAGTGGGGTGTCTCGGACAAGCCCTTGACCGTTGCTGGGAGCAGCTGAATGTGTGCCCCTGGCTGGGGCGCTGTGGGGGACACCACCCGGCCTCTTGCCAGGTGGAGCCCGTTCCCCTCTGACCCGATCCCCACCCCACAGCTGGCTGGTTACTGAACCTGCAACATTTGACTCTGGGTGCACGGATTGGAGAGGGTGAGTTTGGAGGTGAGTGGAGGCCTGGGTAAGAGGCTGAAGGAAGAGGGGCGTGTTTGGGTTTAGGAGTCATGAGGGGCGAGTTAATTCACACCCATGTTAGCACCAGCTCTGTGAGGGGGGCTGACGTCGGCTAAGGTGGGCACTCGGTGATCAGTGATCGTGCTGGATGCCTTCCCACCTCCAGGCCCTGTGCTCGGAATGCCACTCCTGGAAATTGTCACTTGGAAGGCTCTGGGGCTTGCTTAGGTCAGGGGTTGGCCTACCTTCTCTGTAAAGGGCCTGAGTGCACCTATTTTAGGCTTTTCAGGCCAGACGGTCTGAGTCAGTGTTCAGCTCGGCCTTTGTAGCAGGAAAGCGGCCGCAGACACAGGTAAATGAATGGGCGGGGCCGTGTGCCAATAAAACTTTATTTGTAGACACTGAAATTGGAACTCCATGTAATTTTCATTTATTGCAAAGTGGCGTTCTTCTTCTGATTTTTTCCCAAACATTTAAAAAGGTAAAAACCGCTCAGAACTTAGGGGCCTTAACTGACTGAGCCACCCACACGTCCCTGAACTTAAGGGCCTTGCAAAAGCGGGGTGCCCTCTGACAGGATTGGATCTGGCCCCCGAGCTGAAGTTTGCAGACCTGGGTTCAATGCTTCTCTTTGATCAGCTTGTAGGGGCGAGGGGTTTTCCAGGCCTGGGGCCCCACAGCAGTGTTGGGGTATGTGGGGGTCAGGGTAGGTGGGTGTTCCCAACTGTCTGTCCCCATACCCGTTCTCCCCCCCAGCGGTCCTGCAGGGTGAGTACCTGGGACAGAAGGTGGCCGTGAAGAACATCAAGTGCGATGTGACAGCCCAGGCCTTCCTGGATGAGACGGCGGTGATGACGTGAGTCCGGGGGCGGGGTCGGGGTGAGGAGGGCATCCCGGGGTCGGGGTCCCAGCCGTGCCTTCATGGCCCACCTGCCGGCCCCCCAGGAAGATGCAGCATAAGAACCTGGTGCGTCTGCTGGGCGTCATCCTGCACCAGGGGCTCTACATCGTCATGGAGCACGTGAGCAAGGTGGGGGTGGGGCCTGAGGTGCCATCGGGGCCTGGGGGGGCCTCTGAGCAGCCTCGAGCCCCCCAGGTCCATCTCCCTCCCCCGCAGGGCAACCTGGTGAACTTTCTGCGCACACGAGGCCGGGCCCTCGTGAGCACCCCCCAGCTCCTGCAGTTTTCCTTGTGAGTGGGGCTCCCGGGGGGGGCGGGGAGGGGGGCCTTCCAAGCTCAGGGGGACACTGAGGCCTGGAGCAGGACAAGCCCAGCCTTGGGAGTTTGCACCCTTGCAGGCACACACCCCCTCGGGCCCTGCCCCCTCCCCAGGCACGTCGCCGAGGGCATGGAGTACCTGGAGAGCAAGAAGCTGGTGCATCGAGATCTCGCCGCCCGCAATATCCTCATTTCCGAGGACCTGGTGGCCAAGGTCAGTGACTTCGGCCTGGCCAAAGCTGAGCGGAAGGGGCTGGACTCAAGCCGGCTACCGGTCAAATGGACGGCGCCCGAGGCTCTCAAACATGGGGTGAGCCCCCTCCGCCCCTGGGACCCTTAGAAGCCCCGGTTCCGCCTGCTCCGTGACCCTGGGCACATCTCTTATTCTCTCGGGACCTCTTTCAAGGGAATGGCTCTGCCACCCCAGTGAGTGCTTGGCCCCCGGTCGTTCCTTTTAGCCCGCGTCTGGCCTCTCCCTTGTGTGACCCTCTCAGGGCCCCCATTTCCCCATTTCTGAAACAGACGGGCTCTGTGCTGGGGCCAAGAATAACAAGGCCCCCTCCCTGCACTGGGTCTGAGTCCCACCCGGCTGGGGGAGGCTCAGAGGGAGCAGTCTGTTGGGAGGAGACCAGAGAGTGAAGGTCAGCCCAGGGGGACTTCCTGGAGGAAGCAGGGGCTGGCGCAGAAGCCCTTCGGGGCCCCTCCTCACCCTGATCCTGGGCCCCACAGAAGTTCTCCAGCAAGTCGGATGTCTGGAGTTTCGGGGTACTTCTGTGGGAGGTGTTCTCATATGGCCGGGCTCCGTACCCCAAGATGGTGAGTGGAGTGTGCGGGGAGGCACTGGGCCCCCTGCGGGTCTGGTGACTATGGCCCTGACCGAAGCCATGCCGGTGTGCACTCTGCCCACAGTCGCTGAAGGAGGTGTCCGAGGCCGTGGAGAAAGGGTACCGCATGGAGCCCCCCGAGGGCTGCCCGGCCCCCATCCATGCCCTCATGGGCAGCTGCTGGGAGGCCGAGCCTGCCCGCCGGCCGCCCTTCCGAAAACTGGCAGAGAAGCTGGCCCGGGAGCTGCGCAGCGCGGGCGCCTCGGCCCCGGTGGGGGGCCAGGACGCGGACAGTTGTCCCTTGCCCCGAGGCCAGGAGCCCTGACCCTGCCCCGTGGGGCCTCGGGCCCCAGAGGAGAGAGTGGAGGGTGCGGGGTGGGGCAGGGGCCAAGGCCTGAGGAGGGTCAGGGCCGGTGAGCTGCCCATCTGGCTCGCAGCAGGGCAGGCCCTCGTGGGGGACTCCAGGCAGCCCGTGGACACCACAGACCGGGGAGGCGAGGGATCAGCGCCTCCATAAAGCCTGGTTCCAAGGACTGTGGGTGTCTGAGTCTCTCTGCAACCCTTGGCGTCCCTCACCCCAGGGGCTTAACACCAGGGGACCCCCCCGCCGCCATCGCTCAGCCCAGGGCGATCCACCTGCCCCTTGTCTGCCCACTGAGGGGCCCACCCAGCCGGGATCCTGTAGCCGCCGCGGGGACACAGGTCCCCAGGGATGGAGCGAGGAGAACCCCCAGGATCACAGCCACCCGCACGGACCTACTTACTGTATCATCCATGGTTCCCGCTGTGGCACCCCCATGGCTGCCGTATTCAACCCTTGGGGTCCCAGGCTCAGAGGGTGCCAGTGGCCACGGAGGCCCGAGTTCCACGCCTCCACCCCCTCTGCCCCAGCCTTGCCCCTCAGGGTGGATGTGTGGGAGCCCGGGGAGGGTCCAGTCCAGCCACCAGACTGACCCAGTGACTCAGGGGGAGACTGGCTGAAAAGCGCCGGCCCTGCCCCTCTTGTCCACACCCACACAGGGGCTGGGGCCCGGGCTTGCACCCCCAAGTTCTGAGCTTTGTGGCCCTGACCTGTGGTAACCAACCATCCCAAACTGAGAGCACTTCTAGGATGGGGGGACATTAGTGCTAAACGTTAGTGCATCTGGTGAACTGGGGAGTTGGTCCCCCCACCTGGGCTCCAGCAGCCTCCTCTACAATCAGGCGTCTTTTCGGGGTGGGGTTGGGGATTGAAGGCTCACACCAGCGCAGGGCTCAGTTACTGCTGCGTTTAACAGTCACCCCCTCTCAGTTGATGTTTCCAGCCAGCCAGCTTCTAGGATGCCTGGAAGGTCTCTGGCCAGGTGGGGGTGGCCCTCACCCCAGGAACCCCAAAACTGGGGCTGGGGAGGGGACACCAGACCATAGCACACCCGCCCCCTTTGGCTGACCCACCCCCGCCTGAGCACAGCCTCAGCCGGGGGGGGGCTTCCCCAAGGTCACACTGACCTCCTGCGGTGCCCCCCCCCCGAAGCCCTGCCCACCCTCTGGTCTCAGTTTCCCAACCAGCACCTGAAGGGGCTTCGGGATTCTTCCTGGGGGAGAAATGAAGGATGGGAGGCCCGTGGGGCTGAGAGTGGCCTGACCCCCACCTAATCCAGCTGGAGGGGACTCGTAGCCCCACCCCACCCCACCCTTAATCCTGTTCTCTAAGCTGACACAGCGTCTGCACCCGAATCAGCCGCACCCGCTAAGCCACCAAAGCCCCTGTGCCTAACGCCCAGATCCCTCCTGCAGCCTCTTAACCCACCCGGGGCCAATTAGCTAATTGGGGCCTGAGAACAGAGCAGCTCCTAGTAATGAAGCAATTAGGGACTTAGAGACCACCACCTCCCCGCCCCATGTTGCAGGCCTCGTACCCCGGCCCCAGAGCCCCGAGCCCACCTCACAGCCAGGGCAGCTGGGCTTGGAGGGTCCCAGGGAGCCTCGGAAGGCACCAGCGACCCCGCCCGCCCGGGCTCAGGGTGGCTGGGGCCTCCTTGCCCGGCTCCCCCCACCCCTGGGCGCTGAGCCCCTGACCCCCCCTCCCGGCCCTCAGCGGGAAGCACAGCTGGGTCCTCATCCAAGGCCATTAGTGCATGCAGTTGGACCCCCCCTCCAGGGCCTGGCCCCCCTTCACTGGGGAGGGGGGTTGCACAAGCGGGCCTCTCCCTACAAAGCCAGCATTCCAGCAGGTGCCTCCCACCTGCTCCCCGGTCCATACACAGGCCTGGGCCTCCCTCCTGTCCTCTGTGTCACTAAATCCATCAGACATTTTCTTGGCTTTATCTTGCCCCCCACCCCCACACTCCCCTCCTCTTGGGCCCCAGGTTCTTTGGGTGGGGGCAGGGGTGGGCAAACCAGCCTCAGGGGCTTCCCCTGGAACCTGCTGTGGCTCTTGGGCCACTGCCTCTGGGACAGTCTTGTCATCCACCTGTCCCCAAAACGGGGGCCTGGGTATCGCCGGTTCCTCACTCTTCCGCAAACTTTCTCCCCGAGGATTGTTCCTCTGTCCCCCTCTCCCCCCACGTCCATCCCACAGCCCTTGCCCTGATCAGGCCTCTAGCCTCCTCCCAGCCTCCCATCTTGCCCACAATAGATACTCCTCCAAAATGCCATCTGACTGTGTCCCTCCCCTGCTCCACAACCTCCAGAATCTTAGCCTTGCACTCCATCCCCCATTCTGAAGACTTTCTCTAAAAAAGCAACCCACCCTCTGTCCCCCCCACCCCGTCCCCCCCTGCTTGAGTTTTCTCACTAGCCTTATGACCACCTGACACCCTCTATGTCTTATTTGCCGATTGTCTATCTCCCTTACTAGCACGTCAGCTCCAAGATTTGTGTCTGTTTTGTTCACTGCTGTGAACAGAACCTGGTATACAGTGAGTGCTCAATAACATTCATTGAATGAATGAAGAGTGAACTTCTAGCCATTCCTCAAAACCCAGCGAAAATGCCCCCTACTCCCTGGTCAGCTCAGTGTCTGGGGGAGCCGACTGGAACTGCCTTCACCTGTCAGGACCTCGGCTTCCCCCACCCCTGTCACCACCGGTGTGTCTAAGAGGACCTTTTTCTGGCCCCAGCTGATAAAAACAGTAGCAGCAGACATTCATTGAGCACCTACTGTATGCCAGTCTCTGTGCAATGCTCTCTACTTTCATCCCCTCCCTGCCCCATGAGAGCCCCATCAGGTAAGCCCTGGTGTCACCCTTCTACAGCTAGGGAAACTGAGGCCCAGAGAGGGGGAGGCCCTTGTTGGTGTCCTACTGCGAGGGGAGGTGGACCCAGGCCGATGGTCACACCCCTCTGGAGCCCCAGCTGTCCTCCCCCATGCCCGCCCTCTGCAGCCAGCGCCCGGGCGGGAGGGGCCACCTCAATTAATCACCTCGCTCTAATCTTCCCCTCACCAGACCCCAACCCGCTCCCCGCTTGGTTCTGGCAGGGCCAGGCCAGCAGCAGACGGGGTGCTAGGCCCGCTGGGGCCGGAGCTGCGTGGATACTGGGGCTGTCGAGGGGCTGCTGGGGGCGGTGAGTACTGGGCAGGTGGGCACAGGCGGGCACCAGTGGGAGCTGGGGGTGCAGAGAGCCCCCCAGGATGGAGGACTATGGGGGCAGTGTCCCAGCCTCCTGCCTTCCTGGGGGTCCCAGGCACACAGAGAGGTGGATGGACAGGCAGCCCAAAGCTGAGCTGCAGGTCGATGGAGGCCGTCAGGGAGAGCTCGAGTGGGAAAGTGGGAATAGAGGTGGAGGGACAGACACACAGGGAGAAGAGGAGACGCACGGAGAGCGAGAGCATCCCTGGTGGACGGGGAGGCGGGGAGGCTGAATGAATGCAGGCCCCAGCGCGTGTCTCCCCGGCGCGTCTCACCCCAGGCCCGGCAGAGGCTGGGGGCTCCCCTGCCCTCCCAGCTGGCAGTCCCTGCTGCTGTCTCACTGCCTTCTGCTGCCACCCGGCCAGGTGGGGCTGCGGAGAAGCCATGTTCCTGAGCCCCTGTGAGGGGCCGGCGGCAGAGGGTGGGGGGCCGGGCCCGGGCGAGGAGGCCCCCAAGAAGAAGCACCGGAGGAACCGCACGACCTTCACCACGTACCAGCTGCACCAGCTGGAGAGGGCATTCGAGGCCTCCCACTACCCAGACGTTTACAGCCGCGAGGAGCTAGCGGCCAAGGTGCACCTGCCCGAGGTGCGCGTGCAGGTGAGGGCACCCCACAGCCCAGGGAGGGAGCCAGAGCCGGATCGGGACCCTCCCGGTGTGTAGGCAGCAGATCTCCAAGCTGGGAAGGCTTCCCAGAGGAGGGGATGTGGGACTGGGACCTTGGTGTTTGAGTAGAAGTTTTCCAGTTAGAAAGCAGAAAGGGTTGGGGCATCTGGCTGGCTCGGCAGGTAGAGCGTGTGACTCTTGACCTCAAGGTTGTGAGTTCGAGCCTCACATTGGGTGTGGAGATTAAAAATAAAATCTTAAAAACAGAGAGAGAAAGGAGGACAGGCGATCTCTAAGCATCCAGGAGTGTGCGCTCAGCTGTGGAGGGGTTACACTGGGGGCGTTTCCAGCCGGTGCGAAGCGGGGGGACGGAGAGGCAGAGCGCGGCCGAGACAGAGCTCGTGAAGGGCGTCCAGTGCCGAGCCGAGCGGCTCAGACCCGGTGCCCGGGACCAAGAGAGGCCGCGGAGCCCGAGGGGCTGGGCTGAGTGGTGAGGAGAGCTTAGCTTCAGGAGACTTGGGGCTGATCTGATGGGGGCCCTGGGGGGATCCTTCGCTCGAGGCAGGTAACACTGTGTTGGCACAGCAGCAGGTGGGAGTCAGGCTGGACAGCAGGCAGAACCCTGCAAAGCTGGGAGCCCCAAAGGACACAGTGGGGTGGGGAAGAGTGGGCTGGCTCCTCCCCACGGGCCCTGAACCGGGAGCACCCCTCTCACCACCTCCAGGTATGGTTCCAGAACCGCCGGGCCAAGTGGCGCCGCCAGGAGCGTCTGGAGTCAGGCTCCGGGGCTGTGGCAGCCCCAAGGCTCCCGGAGGCCCCAGCACTGCCGTTTGCCCGCCCCCCAGCCATGCCACTGCCCCTGGAGCCCTGGCTGGGCCCCGGGCCCCCGGCCGTGCCAGGCCTCCCGCGCCTCCTGGGGCCGGGGCCTGGGCTGCAGGCATCCTTCGGGCCCCATGCCTTTGGTCCGGCCTTCACAGAGAGCTTCACCCTGGAGGAGGCATCCCTGCGGCTGCTGGCCAAGGAGCATGCACAGGCTCTGGACAGGGCCTGGCCACCGGCCTGAGTCTGGGGCCCAGCTAGCCCTCTCATCTCGGCCTGTCCGTGGCCACCCATGCCGGTCCCCTCAACCACCTCCTCAGCCTGCCCTGCAGGGAGACTGGTACTGTCTCAGGAAGGAAATGGCCTGGCCTGGGGCCTCAGCCTCCCGGTCTGCCAGACGGGCGTGGGGTGGATGGTGAGGCTCTGGAACAGTAAGGCTGCCATCACAAGCCACTCTGTGCCCAGGTCCCCCGCCCGCGCCTCGTCCTTCACAGCCAAGCCCCGGCTCTTGGGCCTCCTGCTCTCTGAGAAATTCCCTGCTTTCACTGCGTGCTCCCATGTGCCTGTCCTGGGCCCATCGTTTTACCCCTTGATGACCACTCAGCTGGACTTGAGGACAAGGAGGCCATCGAGGGCAAGGAACAGGGTGTGACCAGGCTTGGGGCTGGCCTAGTGTCAGGATGACAGGGGACCTCCCCATGGGACGGGGCAGCGTGGGTCAGGACAGGAGGGGAGGGGCTCAAGGGCAGAAGCTGCAAGTGACCAGCACCCTGCCTTTGAGCTCTGTCCATGAAGTGACCATAGGCTCACTTCTGAGTCCTCACACCAGTGCACACCACTGGGGTTCAAGCTAGTCTGCTCTTCTCGGTTCACTTGGCATCTCATACGCAAGTCCCATGGCCATGTCTTCTTTACCTTGTGGCAGCTGGGTCAATCGCCTGCCCACCCACCCACCCACCCACCATCCATCCATCCACCCACCCACCCACCCACCATCCATCCATCCATCATGTAATGCGGACATGATGGTGAACAGACAAAAATCCCTGCCCTGATGGAGCCGCCACTCCAGTGGGAGAAAGAAAGAAGCACAATTAAATAAATACATACGTACATAAAACACCAGCTGGTTATAAGTGCTGAGAAAATAAAACCACAAGAGGCAATCCTGAGTGTGTGGCAGGATTACAGTTTAACAGGGTGCTTGGGGGCCTCTTGGAGGTGACATCATAGAACTGGAGAAGGTAAAAGAGCGAGCCATGGGAACACCTGTGGGAAGAGCCACCCAGGCAGAGGGAATGGCATGTTCAAAGGCCCTGGGGCAGGACCAGCCTGGTGTGTGGGAGGAACCACCAGGTACCCCTGGGGCTGAAGTAGAGTGAGCGAGGTGCCAGCAGGGAGGTGACAGGAGGCAGGTCTGGCCAGGTCTTGTGGCCATTACAACTTTGTTTCTACCCTGAGAGCCATGGGGATCCATGGGAGGGTTGGGACCTGCTCTGGGCGGGCCACCAGGGAGGGCAGGTAATCCGATTGGCAGAGTCCTCCTAAGAGGATGAGGGCTCTCGGTTTCCTGGGACGAGGCAGAATTAGTCCCCAGCCCCACCCACCCCGCTAGACCAGACAGCACAGAGGAGCCTGGAGGGCCCCTGGTCCAGCCCCCCAGGTGGTGCCCGCATCCCGCCACTCCACCCCCTGCAACCGCATACCCTCTCAGGCCTCACCCCAGGGCCCCACGATCCTTCCCCTAGCCAGGCAGGGCAGAAGCTGGGACTGCTAGGAGCTGGTTCTCACTCAGGCTGTGGGTCAGGTTCCTGGTGCCAAATGCAAGACTCCCGGATGCATTTCCTGGTGGGGTGGGCACGGGGGAGGTTGAGCCCTGGGTACTAGTGGGGTGACAGGAGGACAGTGGGTACACCTAGGTCCTGGGGCTCAACTGGCCAATGCAGAGAACACATGACCTTGGTAAAGGAAGGAAAAGGAAGTCCCTTCCCTCTGGCTGGGCTTGCTAAACTGGGTAGGCGGTGTCAGCCAGGAGTCCTGGGGCCACCCCTGTCCAGAACTACCCACTGGGGCTACAAGGACCCAGAGCCAGAGAGAGCCGTCACCTGGATACCGAAGCCCGAGTCCAGCGACCTGAAGGCAGAGCCCGCCCTGGACGCTTCAGTCTCTCTCTCATGTTCGGATAGTTTGGAACGGGTTTGAGTCCCTTGTGACCGAGATGGCCTGTCTAGAAAAACCTCCCCCTGGAGCCAATGGCCTGAGGCACCCCCCTGCCCGCCCACCCAGACAGCAGCCAGGGCCTGCCAGCGTCGGTCCCCCAGGGCCCTGATCCAGCCTCGCCGTGGGGACCAAACAGGCACCAGGTCAGGGGTCTCCTCTGTTCTCAGAAAACCCTGTTTTCTCCAGGAAAATGAAGTCTTCCATGGGGGCCGGGTGGAGAAGATGTTCTGCGCCGCGGGGGTCCTCCTTCGGGGCCTGGTGAGGCCCCTGGTGGCTGCATGCGGCTGGCCCCTCCCCGCTAGAACTTCTGGTTCTTGCTCAGACGGTTATGACGCCAGATGTTGTGTTTTCGCAGCAGCCGCCAGTACTCCCGGCTCTCGGGGTCCAGCTCCTCTAGCTTCTTGGGGGGGCCCACGTTCATCTGGAACAGCCTGCCGTGGCGTGGGCAGGAGTCAGGGAGGCAGGGCAGACCCCCAGAGGTCCCCAACCCTGGGCACCGTGGGCAGAGGTGGCAGCAGGCTGGGCCCCCCAGCCACATGGTGGCGGCATGATCCCGGGGCACGCCCTCCCACCCCGAGCTGGGTTCCTGGCTGTGGAAAAGCTGCCCCATCCCAGTGGCGCTGGTACTGGAGGTGGGCACACACCAAGTCTTGTGCTGCCTCCTGGCCATTGTCTGTGCCGGGAACACCTCCCCACCCACCCACTCAACCTTTCGGAAGCTTCCCTAAGCTTTAAGGATCAGCACAGGTCAATGGCTTCAGTGTCCTGCTACTGGTCCTGGGGCCAAGAGCAAAATCTTCCCTGTATCCCCCCTGGCCCTGCAAAGGCCGAGATCCATCCCCTCCCTGCCCCATCTCCCTCTATTCTCCACCTTCACGTCCCGCTGTTCTGCTAACAAACCAGGCGCAGTCCTGCCCCAGGGCCTTTGCACGGACTCTTCCCTCTACCTTTAAAGCTCCTTCCACCCACTCAGGTCTTGAGTCACGCCTCCCCTCCCCAGGGAGGCCCTATGGAAACCTCAGATCTGAGACCTTGCCCTGGCATGCGCTCTCGGGGCTCTCCAGCCTGGCTCACTCACCACTCGGGGTACTCCGCGTCTGGCTTCAGGACCACGTCCTGGCCCTCCTTGTAGATGTTGACGCCCATGGCATGTGTGGTGAGTCGGACGGGGTCTGTGCACACGTCTGGGTCCTTCAGGGCCTCACTGGCCACTCCACCTTTGCCGCCTTTGCCCCCCTTCATGACTGGGGGGTGGGAGAGAGTCATTTCTGCCAGCTGCGTCCTCGGGAGGCTGGCCTTCCCTTCTGACCTCTCTTTCTCCAGGTGGACCCGGGCCCCTGACTAGACGGTCTGCTGCACCCCAGATGATTTTAAGTGGGACGTGGATACTGCATTAAACACTGACGCTTCCAGTGACCAGGTCACTGCTTTCCAATTCTGTTTATCTCACGGAAAAAGGGCGGGTATGCGTCTTGAAGGCCCCACATTTTGTCAATTCCCTCCTTCCAACAAAGGAGGTCAGGCCAGGCTATACCCGGGTGATTCTGCCTTTGCTTCAGTGGCTAAACCTCAGCTGGGCCCCACTGCGTCCTCAAAGTTCCGGTGGCGACTTGCTCAAGATCACACAGTGCCTTTAAAAGGCCCAGCCAGGGCTGGATCCCAAGCTCAGGACACCGCCCTCCGCCCCCCCCGCGCCCCCCCGGCCACCGCAAGAAAAACACCCCGCACCTGCGCAGTGAGTCCAATCACGGCCCAGGTACCTCAAACTGCGCCTGCGCACATAGCTCAGCGCCTGCCTCTTTGCGCTTGCGCACTGATTCTAGGAAGCACCTCCCAAGCCAGCGCCTGCGCACTACTAACTCCCCAATGTCCCAACCCTCTCCCCTCTGGGTCCCTCTTAACCCAGCTCACCCGGTCTCTTGGCATAACCCCGTACCAGGAGCCTTCCAGGCTCGGCAGGGACCGGGAGCTCCCGGGCCCGCCAGCCGGCCCAGGTCCACGTAGCCCCAAAGAGACGTCTGGCCGCCATGACGTATGCTGACTGCCGGCACGTGCCCTTTTCCGGGAGACGAGAGCGGCCAGGGGGTGCTTGGGAGTTGTAGGCTCGTAGAGATTTCTGGGAAATGTAGTATTCCAGTCTTAGGCGTTCAGGGTGCCTTCTTTAAAACTTTTAGATCTCCTGTTACTGTTAAGAGGGGACTTTCGAGATATTTCATTTACTTATTGCCCTTCTTCAGTTATCACTTACTTTAAGATCACGCCTTATGCATTCCTGATTCTAGTCAATGAGCAATTAATGAAAGTCTAAAAGTAATTCGGGAATACCTAATAGACTCATTATATCCCAGCCCTTTTGCTAAATCCGTAACCAGCTCGATCTCGTTTAGTCCTCACAAGTAGGAGGTAGGTACTATTATTATCCCCAGTTTAATTGCGGAAGCGAAGCTCAGGGATGGAAAGTTGGGCCAGGACTTGCCATTCCGCCCCCAACTGTGAGCGAAACCGGAAGCCCGTCTACATTAGGGTCCCTGCGCTGCTTCCGGTGTCTCTCGAGTCGAAAAAGACCGCCCCTCACTTTAATATTTCCCAGTCCCATTTCTTCCCATCTGCCATCCATTGGAATCATGCCCACAGCCGTAGATGGCAGGCAGTGATCACTAATCCCAATTTGTAATTGAGGAAATAGGTCCAGAGGCCAGCCGGGACTCCCACTCCGTGTAAACTGAGGCCCGGGATTCGAACGCTTGATTCCGACACCTAGCGCTCCCGCACGGCGAGGCTAGCTGGGAGAACTACATTTCCCAGCAGGCCCCCGCAAACGCGCGCAAGCCCAGTAGGTCCGAGAGCTGCGCGGACAGACCTGCCGGCGCCGCGGCCGGGAATCGGCGAGCCGCGGCCGCTGGAGGACTGTTCGGCTGGGGGCGTGGGGTTCTGGGGGGCCTCGCGGTGTGAGGCCACCTCGGTTTGGAAAGTGAGTGTCCCGGCGGGGGCAGAGCGGGGTCTGGAGCTGGCGGCTAAAGAAGGGGGTCTGAAGTCTTGGGGCTGGGGTCTGCGAGAGGACCGGGGTCTTAACTCCTAGCTTTAGGTGGAGTTACGTCTTCAGGCTGGGTTCTGAGGTCCGGGTCAGAGTCCGGGGTTGATCTTGAGCGTGGCATTGGAAGTTTTGAGAGTAGGCTCTGCTTTCTGGCGTCTTGGAGCTCTAGTATTAAGTCTGGTGTCCTGGATCTAGTCTTGGGCTGAGGTCCTGAGTCCGAGGTCTCGGGGACCTGCACCTACCGGGTCTGTATAGTCAGGCTGTGTCTCCAGCCTGGGTTACACGACGCGGTGGGGGGAGACTTGGAAGAACCAAGTCTGGGGGAACAGGGTCCACGGGTGGGGAGAGGCCTGGGCTGACAGGTACAGGGGAGTACTCCGGGGTTCGGAGCCTATGAAGCCACTGTCTTACAACTGCCTATTCTGCATCTTGATTTCCTCTTCTATAAATTGGAGATCATAGCGGACCCTTCCTTGCAGGGTATGGTGGGGATTAAATTCTGTGTTCTACATGAACAGCACCCACCTAGAGCTTGGCACCACGTTGGCAGTCAGGAAATCTTATCTTTGAATCTCTCTTTCAGATGTTGGCCTGAGCCTGGGGTCCAGGCATGGAATTCCTGACAACTTCCCAGTCTCCCTCAGGCCCTCCAGCTATGGACTTGGAGGAGCCCAGGGACACAATTCCACCTTCCCAGGACCTCACCCCCAACTGCCAGTGGGACCCGGTGCCGGGACGGTCCGGCAGCCTGAGTCAGATGGAACTCGATGGGCCAAGTGTTGAGGACCTGGTGCAACGGTTTGAGGCTCTGCCTGGTGATCTGGTGGGCTCGTCGCCGGATGGACCTCCCTGCCCCTTGCACGTGGCCACGGGCCACGGCCTGGCCTCCCAGGACGTTGCTGATGCCCATGGACTCTTGTCTGCCGAGGCCGGCCGGGACGACCTGCTGAGCCTTTTGCACTGCCAGGAATGCCCTCCTTCCCAGTCTTGTCCCAAGGAGCCTCCGGACCCTGCCCCTCGCCCGCTGCAGCCCCCTGAGGACCCAGATGGAGATACCAGTGCCCCAGAATGGGCGGAGGGAGCTTCTGCCGAGCATGGTGGCAGCAGGAGCTCAAGCAGCTCCCCGGAACCGTGGCTGGAGACGGTACCTCTGGTTGCTCCTGAAGAACCGCCTGCCAGTACCCAGGTAGAGCCTGTCCCGCCCCCCAGGCTGCCTCTGCTGCCAGGAACCAAGCCAGGGGACTCAGTCCTGCCCCTCTTCTGTCTTCTTCCAGAGCCCCAAGACCCTGGTGCCATACCCTGCCCTCCAGGAGGGTGAGTGTCCTGCCCACCCTGGCCCCAGGGACTTAGCAATTTCAGAATCGCCCCAATCAGGCTTCTCCCAAAATGGCATAAAGTTTGCCAGTAAGGAATTGTTCCTAGAGAGGCTCCGAGGTTGGTTGAGTAGATTCCGGATGGTCTGGGAGGGGAGAGAGAGTGGTGAGAATGTTCTAGAATGAATAGGGGATGGAAGGGCATGTGTGGCATTTTAGCATGGTTCTAGAGCAGGGCTTGGCAAATTGCCATCTGCGATCAAATCCAACCCACCTGTTCTGGCATGTCTTGTGGGTTTTACATTTTTAAGTGGTTGGAAAAAAACAGAATAGTATTTCTTGATGCATGAAAACAATGTGCAACTCAAATTTCAGTGTCCAGAAATAAAGTTTTATTGAGACACCGTCATGCCCATTCATTTACGTATTGTCTACCGTGGTTTTCATGTTACAGTGGCCAGGTTGAGTAGTTGCAGTCCAGACCATCTGGCCCACAAAGACAAACGTATTTACTGTTGGGCCCCCTGCGTAAAAAGTTTGTCGATCTTGGGATGCCTGGATGGCTCAGTCACTTAAGTGTCCAACTCTTGAGCTCAGCTCAGGTCTTGATCTCAGGGCTGTGAGTTCAAGCTCCACGTTGGGTGTGGAGCCTGCTTTAAAAAAAAAAAAAAAAGTTTCTCAATTTCTGCCCTGAAAGCATGGAAAGAACCAGTTCTGGGCACCTAGAATGTTCCAGGATTTCCCCCCAAACTACCTGAGGCTGTAAGTCAAAGAACAAGTTTTATGGTTGTAGGAAAGTGAAGCTGGTTTGGACTTACAGTTCCAAGAAGGTGCTGGAATCATGGGTGGAGCCATGACTCACCTTGGGAGTTCCAGAATTTGGCCTTGGTTCTAGATTAAAAGAACCTGGGCTGATAGTGTTCTAGAATGGTGAACAGAGCTGTCTAGACTGGGGGTTTCGTAATCATGGGGTGAATAGAGCTTTCTACGATTCTAGCTCAGGGGGTGTTCTAGCACTGTGGACAGGGCTGTCTGATTCCAGAGTAATCAAAAAGTTCTAGAGTCATGTTATACAATAGAATCATAATGTGAATGATGTGTAACTTTTTTTATTTTTATTTTTATTTTTTTAAAGATTTTATTTATTTATTTGAGAGAGAGAGAGAATGAGAGACAGAGAGCATGAGAGGGAGGAGGGTCAGAGGGAGAAGCAGACTCCCTGCCGAGCAGGGAGCCCGATGCGGGACTCGATCCCGGGACTCCAGGATCATGACCTGAGCCGAAGGCAGTCGCTTAATGATGTGTAACTTTTTTTAAAAAAGATTTTATTTATTTTGAAAGAGAGAGAGTGCGTGCATGCTAGCAGGGGGAGGGGCAGAGGCAGAGGGAGAGAGAAAAATCCCAAGCAGGGGTGCCTGGGTGGCTCAGTTTGTTAAGCATCTGCCCTTGGCTCAGGTCATGATCTCAAGGTCCTGGGATTGAGCCCCACGTTGGGCTCCCTGCTTCTCCCTCCCCCTCTGTCGCTCCCCCTGCTTGTGCCTACTCTCTCTCAAATACACAAATAAAATCTTAAAAAAGAAAAAAAGAAAATCCTAAGCAGCCTCCCTGCTGAGCGTGGAGCTTGACACAGGGCTCGATCCCATGACCCTGAGATCATGACTTGAGCTGAAATCAAGAGTCAGATGTTCAAACAGCTGAGCCAGCCAGGCACCCCTGTGTGTAACTTTTAATTTCCTAGTGATCTGCTTTAAAAAATAAACATAGGGGTGCCTGACTGGCTCGGTCAGAGGACGTGCAACTCTTGATCTCGGGGTCATGATTTCGAGCCCCACTTTGGGTGTAGAGATTACTTAAAAAACAAAAACTTAAAAAAAAACAGGAAAAAGTAATAACATTTTAATTAACTCAATCTATATAAGGTGTCGTTTCCACATATAATCAATATCTTATAATTATTTTACCCTTTTTTCATACTAAATTTTTAAAATCTAGTGTGCATTTTCAGGTGCCACATTTCAGGTGCCCAATCCCCACACGTGCCTGGCTGCTAGCATATTGGATGGTGCGGTTCTAGAACCCCAGAGTGGAGTTCTGTTGTTCCAGAATCTTAGATCACGAAAGAGAATGGGCAGAACAGGCTATAGTTTAAATTTACTTGGAATCATCCAGAGCTGGGGCCTGCGCCTGCAGTTCTAACCCAAAAAAGCAACCACTCCTGGTTAGGACATTCTGGGAGAACTGGCTGGTTCTAGATTACTCAGGGAATTACGGAGCTCGACGGCAGAGTTCTGTGTGGTTCTGGGCTAGGTTGGTGGAATTCTAGAACTATGTGCAGAGTAGTCCATTTCTGGACTACTCAGATCATTCTTAGACTCACTGGGGACAGCTAAGGTGTCCCGACTATTTGAGGATGTTCTAGAACCATAGGAAGAGCTACCCAATGCCATCATGATTAAGAAGTTACAGAATCACAGAGTGGGAAAATGTGGTTCTGGAGGGGTGCTGATTTCTAGACCCTGCAGAATTCTGTGGTTTGAGAGCTGTCAGGGAGCTCTAGAACCCCAAATGGAAGCCATTTGGGGTTCTGGACGGTGTGAGTTTTAGACATGTGGGACGTTGTCTCTTCCTACTCTGATTGGGCAGTTCTACAACTATGGAGTAGAGTTGTCTCCAGTCCTGGGCTGACAAGGGAGAAATCTAGAACAGTGGGCAAGGCTAAATGGCTTCAGATTGATTCGGGGGATTCCAGAACCATTGAGTACAGGTGACTATGGTTTTATAATGTTGCTGGTTTTAGAAATGGGACGGCCTGGTTCTAGCCTGATGACAGAATTCTAGAAACACAAGGTGGAGGTGCCTGAAGGCTAGAGCGGTTTTTGGATCCTGCCGTGGTTCTAGACTCTCAGAGGGCTCCTGACACTGGGTCCTCTGCCCTGGAGTCCTTGAGCCGTGGACAGAGTTCAGCTGGCTCTAGACCAACAAGAGGCTGTGGATGTCTGTGGCTCCTGCTAATGGGATGGTTCTGGAACAGTGGGCGGATGTGTGTGGCTCAAGAGCGCTAAGCCATGGGGTGGAACACTGTGCTTCCAGACCACTGAGGGAGCCAAGACCCAGGGCAGAGCCTGTGGGGTTGGACATGCGTGGCTCAGGGCTCACAGGGGCTGACCCTCCTCCACTGTTGCCTTTAGTACCTGGTCCCTGTGACCATGAAGACCTCCTAGACGGTGTCATATTTGGGGCCAAATACTTGGGCTCCACCCAGCTGGTGTCCGAGCGGAACCCACCCCCCAGCACACGCATGGCCCAGGCCCGGGAGGCGATGGACCGTGTCAAGGTGAAGCCAGGGCTGGGCAGGTGGAGTTCCCTGGGGCCAGTGGGCGGGTGGGTGGGTGGGCTGCCGGCCAGGTCCTCCAAGGCCCCTGGAGCCCAGCGCGGCAGAGGCTGGGTCTTCGTGGGCCTCCACCTCCCACCCACCCCCACAGGCCCCTGATGGGGAGACCCAGCCCATGACGGAAGTGGACCTCTTTGTGTCCACCAAGAGGGTCAAGGTTCTGACGGCCGACTCCCAGGTACGGGGCCAGGCCCGGCCTCCGGGGGGCGGGGGCCCCGCCCAGCGCCCGCACAGCCCGCCCAGGCCTGGTCTCCCCCCTGCTCCAGGAGGCCATGATGGACCACGCCCTGCAGACCATCTCCTACATTGCTGACATTGGCAGCGTGCTAGTGCTCATGGCCAGGCGGCGGCTGGCGCGGCGGCCGGCATCCCAGGCCCACAGCCATAGGCTTTACAAGATGCTCTGCCACGTCTTCCACTCCGAGGACGTGAGCAGCCCCGCTCTGGGCGTCCTGGGGGAGAGGGGGACTCGGGCCGGCCCCACCCTCTTCCAGAGCCCACCTGGCCACACCGTCACCACAGCATCCTTCCATTGGTCCTCGGCGCGGGCCGCTGTCTCCCTTCCCACCCCCGAAGCCCCTGGTCCTTCCCGTAAGCCTTGGAGACTGGCAGCTGACCCCTGAACCTCCCCGCTCCGGGCCTGTCTCCCTCCCCTCCCCTTGCCCCCCACAGATTCCCCAAGACAGGGGCTGGTTTCCACAGTCCCCGAAGCCACAGGGCATCGCGCTGTCTCCTGGGAATCCTGCGCCCCATGGGGGTGGGAGGGCTTGGCTCTGAGGATGCCGGAGGGTTTGGGGGACCTGAAGGAGGTGGGTGGGACACCCCCCTGAGAGATGCTGCCCATCGGCCTGCAGGCCCAGCTCATCGCTCAGGCCATCGGCCAGGCCTTCACTGTGGCCTACAGCCAGTTCCTTCGGGAAAGCGGCGTCGACCCCAACCAGGTGGGCGCCCAGCAGAGCCAGGGCGCCGCGGGCCCCGGCCACCTCCACAATGGGGACCTCGACCACTTCTCCAACAGCGAGAACTGCAGGGAGGTGAGCAAGCAGGCTGGTGGCCCCCGCCAGCCCCCCAACAGAGCAGCCCTCATGCCCCCCACCCCGTGTCCCCCTCCCAGGTGTGCATCGAGAAGCGCCGGGGCGAGGGCCTGGGCGTGGCCCTGGTGGAGTCGGGCTGGGGCTCTCTGCTGCCCACGGCTGTCATCGCCAACCTGCTGCATGGGGGTCCCGCCGAGCGCTCAGGGGCCCTCAGCATCGGGGACCGCCTCACTGCCATCAATGGGACCAGCCTGGTGGGGCTGCCCCTGGCCGCCTGCCAGGCCGCCGTCCGCGTGAGTCCCCTGCAGGGTAGCCGGGTGCCCTTCCCTGGCGCGGTCCAGAAGGCGCAAGGTAGAGCATGAAGTCCTACCCGCGCCGGTGTGCTCAAGGAGACGGAGCCTTGGAGAGGGGACGCTACTGGTCCGGGGGGGCCTTGATGGGGTGAGGGCAGGATTTGAACCCAGGCGGTCTAGCTGCAGGGTTGGGAGCCTTCCTCTCTGCCCCGAGGCAGCCAGTGTGTTCTTGAGTCTTGACCCTTGTTGCCAGCTGGGGAAACTGAGGCCTGGAGCAGGGAAGGACCTGGCCAGGTTAGAAGGGCGGGCCGGACATGGTCCACGCAGCATGTTACGTTTGAGTGTGGCAGACGCTGCTAGAAATGTGCTCTCGACAGGGAAACTGAGGCCGCAGATAAGGAGGGGAGAGGTCACCGCTCCGACCCGAGGCCGCCCTGCTTGAGTCTGTGTTCTTAACTGCTTCTCAAGGGGTCTTCTAGAATCTAGAGCCGTGACTCTGAAGCTCCATTTCACGAGTGGGTAAACTGAGGCCCCAGGGGGCTGCAGTGTACCGAGAGGCCCCGCTAGGCCAACAGCCCGTGTCCTGCACAGGAGGTGAAGTCACAGACCTTGGTGACCCTCAGCATCATCCACTGCCCGCCGGTCACCACAGCCATCATCCGCCGGCCCCACGCCCGTGAACAGCTAGGCTTCTGCGTGGAGGACGGCATCGTGAGACCCCAGCCCCAGGACGGGGTCGGGGGGTGGGACTGGTGGCCCCGAGCACGGCCGCCTGAGCAGCCGCGGCCCCTCCCTGTCCCCTCCAGATCTGCAGTCTCCTCCGGGGCGGCATCGCAGAGCGCGGGGGTGTGCGTGTGGGGCACCGCATCATCGAGATCAACGGGCACAGCGTGGTGGCCACGCCGCACGCCCGCATCATCGAGCTGCTCACCGAGGCCCACACGGAGGTGTGTGGGCAGCGGGCGGGCGGGGGCGGGGGCCCTCCTGCCAGTGCGGGCCCGGCCCGAGCCGCCGGCCTTCTCTCTGGCCCCCCAGGTCCACATCAAAATGATGCCGGCCGCCACCTACCGCCTGCTCACCGGCCAGGAGCAGCCCGTGTACCTGTGACCAGCCACCAGCGCCCCCCTCCCTCCCTCCCTCTGCTGTGCCTTAGCCCCAGCAGCCCTGGGAGCCCGTCGCGGGGCCTCCAGGGCTTCTTGGCGCCGTGTTATTTTCTGATGTAAAACATTAAATGCTTAAAAAAAACGGGTAAAATCTTGGATCGAGGTCTGTGGGGTTGAGAGAGGAAAAATAGGACCGACTCTCACTCCGTGTGCTTCCCAGAAATCTCCAGAAGCCAGTGTTGTGAAAATACTCTATTTATTAAAGACTGGCAGAAGGAAGTGGGGTTCTAGGTTCTGAATGGGAAATCCGAGTCCCAGCGCCAGTGGGGAGAAAGGAATATGGGTCAGCTGGCCACCTGGGAGGGGTCACAGGTCAGTAGCCGGACCCCAGTCATAGCCGTCCTCGTCAGAGGACTCCATGTCTCGAGCTCGTGTAAACTTCTTCTTCAGGGCCTCCCGCCCGTAGGTCCTGGGGATCAGGAAACAGAGGGGAGGCTGTGGGCGGTGGGGAGGCTTGAACTACCCTTACCTGAGGCTGACTCTGCTAGGCACAATGGGTGTGGACAGAGACGAGCAGGACTGCTCATTTAGGGGTCAGGCCTCATTAACGAACTCCTACACATCTTTCAAAGCCCCATCTCATGTCCTCTCCTTCCGGAAGCTGTCCCAGTCTTCTGAGGAAGCGGGCCCTGACTACATGGGGTGGGATTGGCCCCTCTGCTTTCATCTCGCCCAGAAGGATGGGAGCACATTTAGACATAGCTTGGTTCTAGGTCCCTTCATCCCCTGAGCCTGAGTCCCAGGAAAAGGGCTGAGGGGCTCCAGTCTGGAGTACGGGGGCTCTTACCGCACGCTGTCCTGTCGCCACTGACCGTGGTGGGGGTGGCTGTCTACCTAGGAGTGGGGGAAAGGAGGTCAGCACTTCCCCCAAAGTAAGATAAACTGGAATGAAGAGCACCCCTGTCCCAACTCCCCACCTTGGCCCAGGCAGTGCTGCCCACGGGTTCTCTCCTAGCCCCACACAGGTCTGCAACTCGTCTCTAATTTTTAGTGAGAAGATATCCTGGGATTGGGGGGGAAGGCCTTGGCTGAGATCCCCTAGCCTGTCGGCAAAGGAGGAGTTGGGTTTCCCATCTGCAAAATTCCTGAGGGCTGTTCATAAATAAGTTCATATATGGAAAGTGCTCAGGATAGTGCCTGCCCCATAAGCAAGCTGCCATGGACAGTTGAGCAGGTCGGGTACTGCACAACTCCTGGGAGCACATCAGAGATTTGTACATTTTCACATTTAACTAAAGAGGGCCTGGAGGAAGGGGTACCTTTGTCAAATTTATAGAAAGGCACTGTGGGGGCTGAGGCAGCCTCACAAAGAATAAATACTATATAAATACTTGTTTTTGGTAAACACCCAAGTCGTATGGGCTGGGACTTGGGTAAGTGCATTGAGTTTAAAACAACCACCTTGTGACGTCAAGATGTATCTATTCCATAAGGAAACACAGCGGTGGAAACATTTGTTTTAAGTTGTTCAGTGACCCATGCATTCAAATAGCCTAGGTCTGGGTCTGAGATACTGATCTCAGCAGAGAAGCTTCTGTTTGTTGATATCCTGGGGGGAAACAGGTTCACCGCACCGTGTGTCTCAGCCGCATCCCAAGACCCTTGCCAGGGCCACCCCCGTGCCCTGCTCACCTGGGCCCCTCGGGGACCGGAGGCTCTCCCATGATCCCGCGGGCTCTGGGGCTCATCCATGAGCACGGGCTCCGAGGACCGGGCCAGAGCTGGCGCCGGGGGACCCTCGTCCACGTCCGTGTGGGGCCCGCCCTCGCCGTCTGTGTAGCCCTCGCCATCTGTCTCGTAGTCGCTGTTGACCCGGCTGTCACAGCTCAGATCTGCAGAGCTGTCGGCCAGGCCGCGGTGAGGGAGCTCCAGGTTGTCCTCCGAGGAGTTGTCCAGCTGTGGGGCGGGGAGGCCAAGCTGAGCCAAGACCCCGCCACCAAGCCAGGCCCTGCCTCATCTCAGACCAGATCCGCGACCCAGGACACCAGCCTTTGACCTCAGTCCCAAAACAGGTCAAGAGCCTGACCTCAGGCCAAATCTTGACCGCGGACACGCCCCCAGCCCTGACCCGGTACCTGGTCCTCGGCCGTCCAGATGGGCCGGGTCTGCTGCTCGCGGATGATGGCCTTGAGCTCCTCGTACCAACCGTCACTCGTGCCACGCAGGGGGATGGTGGCTGTGGGGAGGGGGCATCAGCACGGCGGAGAGACTCGGCCCAGGCCCCACCGCCGGCCCCGGATCCCCAGCTCCCGGCCCACCCGTGAAGAGGTGTTCGCTGTGCTTCCGTAGCTTCTGGGCTTGCGTGTAGAGGCGGCGGGTGCTGCGGCGGGAGGCGGGCGCCAGCCACTGGCGTAGGGCCTTGAGGGCCGGGCGGCTCTCGGGGGCGCAGAAGACCACGATGGGGTAGTACTGCACGTAGTTGAGGCGTTCGACCGCTGACGGCGTCACGTCCAAGAGCGCGTGCTTGTTCTGGGCCCAGCCCGCAGTGGAGACGGGGGGGGGGGGGGGACAGACCGCAGAGACAGAGCAGGAGACGGGTCAAGAGGCAGGTGAAAGATCAGCTGATCAGAGATGCAGGTGAAGGGCCAAGGTCAAGGTGGGCCCCAGCCTCGCACCGCAAGCTGGCATGTCGGAGGGGTGGGGGTGGTGGGGGAGGCTGGGAGAGCCCAGGGCTCGCCACTGTGTCCCTCCCAAGCCCCCACATCACAACACCTCCCCGAGGGGCGCCGTGGGAGTCCCTGCTGTGCAGCATGGGGCAAGAACAGGTCGGAGACCTGGGCCTTGGTTTCCCCACCCTTGAAACAGGACCCACAGCAGGGCCCTGCTTACTTTCTCCGCAATCATGCGCACGGTGTCCAGCTTGATGATCTTGGAGGGGCTATCTGTCCTCAACACACTGTCTGTGGAGGGGAGAGAGAACCCGGCAGCTTCAGAAGGGCATCCCCCTGGCCACTCAAATTCAAGCCTCCCTGCCCCTCCCCCGCTCAAGAACCCACCATGGCTCCCCATCGCCCTGCGAGCAATCCTAACAACAGCAGCAGCCCCCCTAGCCATGTGCCTGACACTCACTGCACTCAGTCTCCCAGCTGACCATGGCCTACACTGCTACTGACCCATCAGGCAGATGGGAGACAGCCTCAGGGACATAAGGTCACTGGCTCAGGGTCACAGAGCCAACACGGGGCAGGGTGAGGAGCCTCATTTGGAGTCTGTGTTCCAGACACTGGCTCTCCCAGACTTGACCCCAGCTCGAGGCCTTTGCTCAGACTGTGTCAAAGGAAGCTGCTCTCCCACCCCCCATCTGTCCTCTAGGACTTGAGATAGAGCACTGCTTCCTCCAGGAAGCCCTCTAGTGTAGCCAGGCAGCTGAAGGGGGAGACCCGCCCTGCCCGGGGGGCCTAAAAGGAATGGGGGAAACACAACCTTACCTGTTTTTTTATTGTTATAAAACGTGCATAACATAAAATGTACCACCTCAACCGTCTTTTAGCGCACAGCTCAGCGGCATGAAGCACCCTCACGCGGTCCTGCGACCACCCCCACCCTCCGTCTCCAGAACGTTCCATCTCCCCACACGGAGACTCTGTCCCCGTGAAGCAGGACTCCCCACCCCCTGCCCCAGCCCCGGCTCCCACCCTCTCCTTTCTGTCTCTGTGGACGGGACTCCTCTGGGGACGTCCTGGGAGTGGGGTCCTGCGGGATGTGTCCTGGGTCTGGCTCCTCTCACTGAGCCCAGTGTCCTCGGGGTCCCTCCGAGTCATGGCAGGTGTCGGGGTCCCTTCCTTTCTAAGGCTGGATCATGTTCCAGCGTGTGGATGGACCACACTGTGTTTATTCACTGGCCTTGGGTCGTGTCCGTGGTTTGGCCGCTGTGGACGATGCTGCTGGGAACGTAGGGGGGCAGATCCCAGTGTGAGCCCTTGCCTTTACTTCTCTTGGGTGTAGATCCAGACACGGACTCGCTGGCTGGGTCGGGTGGTGACTCTGTGTTTCACTTTCTGAGGAGCTGCCACCTGTCCTCCCCAGTGGCCGCCCCCCGCCATTCCCCCAGCCGCGCAGGAGGGCCCCGATTCCCGCATCCTCACGGACACTGGCTCCGTTGTTTGCTTCGTTTGACACTATGGCTCTCTGAACCACACCCAGGGGCCTCCTCCTCCTCCCACCAAGTTCCTGTCCCACAGGCCCTGCGTCCCAGGGTGCTCTTAGAAAAGCCTCCGGAAAGCTGCTGAGCCCCCCGGGGCAGTGAGAAGGCCAAACGGACAAAGGGCCTCACCTCCTGAAACGCTCACACCTTACGTGGGCACGAACACGGTGCCTGGGAGCCCCAGCCGCGAGCCACCGTGCAGGACACATCCGCCGCCTTCCCTCACTCATCCCTCCCACCGAGGACAAGAGACCCCATTTGAGAGGCAAGGAAGGGAGGGCTCAGAGAGGGCAAGCGGCCAGCTCAGGGTCACCCAGCCACACGGAGTAGGAAGGAATTTAGGGACACTGACCCACTGGACTCCCTGGCACTGCCTCGAGCTGACAGATGCCCACCCAGAGGACCCTCCAGCAGCTAGATGAGATGTTGTACCTCCAAAAGCCCCTCCACCCTCCTCTGGGGGCTCCTAACCAAGATCTCGACCCCACGGGGCTTTGAGCTGAGGCTTTATTAAGTGCATCTGCTCTGCAAATAGTGCCCCCTGCTGGAAAGTAGCTACAGGCAATATGTAAATCAGTGGGTGTGGCTGTATCCCAATAAAACTTTATTTGTAGGTGCCGAGATTGGAAGTTCATTATCATTTTTACGTGTCACAGAATTTTTCTTTTAACATCTCTTCAACCATTTAAAACGTGTAACTACGGGGCGCCTGGGTGGCTCAGTGGGTTAAGTGTCCGACTTGTGATTTTGGCTCAGGTTGTGATCTGGGGGTTGTGAGATCGAGCCCCGCATGGGGCTCCACGCTCAGCGGGGAGTCTGCTGGAGGATTTTCTCTCTCACCCTCTGCCCCTCCCCACTCTCGCGTGTGCACACACACACACACATTCTCTCTCTATATATAAAAATAAATAGATCTTTAAAAAAAAGTGTAAATACCATTCTTAGTTAGCAGGCTGTATAAAAACTTAGCTGATGGGCCAGATTTGGCCCAGGAGCTTTCATTTGCTGACCCCCTACTCCAGCTTGTTTCTGTAGTGGCTAATTTGGGGTCTC